GAGAGAGAGAGAGAGAGAGAGAGAGAGAGAGAGATCTGTGATGTCTCAGACACTACCACTGATATGTCACTTCAATTAATACTTAATTGTGTATTGAGTTAGTTATCAGACATTAGACAATTAGTCACTTAATTGTAAAGTAATTAATAATTTATTTTGCATTGTAATTGCCTCTAAATATTCAAATAAAATCAAAGTGTTACTAGTATTCATGTGTTAACAGTAAAATAAATGCAATACTAAACAATTAAGTTACCCTTTTTATATATCGATATTATATCTAAGATATATTTCAAAAATATTTAAGTTTTATTTTGAAAGTAACTTTTTTAAAGGACAACTTTAAAGTCTAAGGGATTTGTTTAATAAAATTGAGGTCTAGGGCTGTCAATAAAAAATTTTTCTTAAATATTGAATTTTAAAAATATCCAGTAACGTTGACTGTTTTGTCACAACACATATTAAATTCTTGTTATTTATTTCAAATCCTATTTTATCTCAATGTATCTCCAATTGGAAAATAACTTGAATTCTCAGTGAATCTCGAGTTTGTATTAAATTAAATAATAAGTCACTCAAACTCAAAATCTATACAATACTCACGTATTTACAATATAAATGTCATTTTATAAATATACCATATTGATTTTTCGGTGTTGTGAACAATTAGTAAGTGATTCAAAATTAGTATAGCATGTTTGAAATCACTTTTCATAAAAAATTATTTATAAACTATAAGATAAACAAAAAATTCTTGTTTACAAAAAATATTAATAATGTATTTGCAGTTACATTTTTGTCAGTTCATACTTGTAGGCAGCTAATGTAAACCTTTACATAAACTTGGAAATTATAACACAATTTCTACTCTAAATGCGGTTTAAGTTTATATCCACAAAATGATGGTTTCATGTCTGGAAGCGTAGGCAACCAAAGCCTCCAAATAATAGGACTAAGATTCTTGTATAAAGTATTAGCAAGTTCAATTATATTACATTTTCTAAAGCTATGCATGCAATTATTGTTTTATTATAAATAATGATGATGATAATAAATAATTTAATTTAAAAATATGAATTAAAGCTCTGTATAATATATGATAATTAATTTTCTAGTTATTTATCTGAATTGAGTTTTATCATTGGTAGCATATACATGTACTGTAGTATCCATATATGATCAGGATAACTTTACCTAATACACAGTAGAATCTGAAAACAATCGCAACAACTTATCATGCACTTATCTTACTTCTTAATGCAACTATTACAATTATTATTCCGAGATTAACAGGACAAATTTATTTATTTAACTTTTTAATACATTATTTCACATTGATAACAAATCTTATGTTTTATTATACCATATTAGTAATGTGTGTAAAATTAAGAATTGTTTATTTTTATTATTTAGTAGTGTTTATGGTTTAGTAAAACTTAAATAGTTTGAATTTTGCCAATACTTTGTAATTGTTTAACAAACTTGGGAACCAGAGTATAGTGTCAAGAATTGGTGTCATCAATATGTCTTGTATTGACACTCTATTATAGGCAACAAATAGAGCATATGAACTATGATCACTGATCAGGGTCAAACTTATACAACTTGAATATAAGCGACAGTTAAAGTGTATTTTTTATTGGTCTCATATAAAAGAGATGTAATGATCAAGGTCTCACTTAATATCAAAATAACAATCATGCACACAATATGCCATTTATAAAGTATTTATAATGTTTGGATACAAATAATGTAGAATGACCCAGTTCAGTCCCATATGAACTATATCCATAGTTCCTTGTGTTTCATATACTGTTAACCCTCCTCTTAACCCTTCATTCACAGACTTATGCCATTAGACCTCATAGGGTAGGGATTGCCTACAAAACTAATCAGTTAATAATGACACTGTGTCAGTTTGTTCACAATTGACATTTAATTTCCGTGTATACTATACCGTAAGTAATCCAGTTCCCTTGTCATTTTCAATATAACTATTGACTGTTTTATAAAAGTGGTGCAATATTAAAGTGCAATTCATAAATCATATCATATGAGACAATAGCTCACTATTTGGTACCAGAATATGCTATTTACTTCATTCTATACATATTCTGTATACAGAATCACAGATATATCATAACTCACGACATCTGACGGCATTCATATAAACAGTTTTCTAAAGTGTCTCATATAACAATTTAATAATTTATAACAATTTAAAGTAATTTAAATAACATTTAGCTCTTATATAGAAAATAATGTAAATCCTGTGTTTCACTTAACACTGTTTGACAACTAAAGCATTCATTGGTTCAGTAATACAGTGTCTAATAGACAGTGAATGCATGCATTCATTGGTACAGTAGTGATGGCATGAAATGAGTGGTGGAGAGGCAGACATACATTGCATGGCCTGTAGTGCATCGTAAGTGACAATCACTACAATCACTGCATTATATCAATGTTTACTCATTAAGTGCTTCACTGTTACGGAAACACACAATGCATTCACCACTCAATCAATCCATTAATCAATGATTTCATACGAAATGCGACATTTAATTTCCGTGTATACTATACCGTAAGTAATCCAGTTCCCTTGTCATTTTCAATATAACTATTGACTGTTTTATAAAAGTGGTGCAATATTAAAGTGCAATTCATAAATCATATCATATGAGACAATAGCTCACTATTTGGTACCAGAATATGCTATTTACTTCATTCTATACATATTCTGTATACAGAATCACAGATATATCATAACTCACGACATCTGACGGCATTCATATAAACAGTTTTCTAAAGTGTCTCATATAACAATTTAATAATTTATAACAATTTAAAGTAATTTAAATAACATTTAGCTCTTATATAGAAAATAATGTAAATCCTGTGTTTCACTTAACACTGTTTGACAACTAAAGCATTCATTGGTTCAGTAATACAGTGTCTAATAGACAGTGAATGCATGCATTCATTGGTACAGTAGTGATGGCATGAAATGAGTGGTGGAGAGGCAGACATACATTGCATGGCCTGTAGTGCATCGTAAGTGACAATCACTACAATCACTGCATTATATCAATGTTTACTCATTAAGTGCTTCACTGTTACGGAAACACACAATGCATTCACCACTCAATCAATCCATTAATCAATGATTTCATACGAAATGCATTCAAATGTTTGTTAATTCATTGATGTTTTAATTCAAGCATTCATTGACCGCTAATTGACACACAATTGACATGAATCTCAACCTCTGTCTGTATATCAAACTCAATGCCATTGTATTGACATTCATATCAATTGTTGGTAAGTGTTGTGTCCATTGAATCCATTGAATCCATGACTAATGATGACCTGTATGTCCACAGAGACCAATGTCCAGAACTGTTCAATCGGTGTCCTAACAGACAGCGTGTGTGCGAAGGGATGGGTATGTGTGCAGTGGTCTGACAGTCACCCCAATGGGTCGATGGGTCGGTGTGTCTGTCAGGAGGACTGTCCCAAGAATGAGACGATTGTGTCAACTGTTAAACCGCTTCCAATCTATTCAGTGGACGACAACAGCAACAGTCGTGAGTCCAATATAACCACCGTTTGTGTCAATGATATGTCTAAATGTGTTGACAATGCCATGACATTAGGATCGGTGGTAGTGGTGAGTGTGCTGTCGGTGGTGATGAGCGCACTGGTAGTTGTGGTCATGTATTACGTGGGAGTGAGGAAAGGCATGTTTCGGGAGGTGTGGCGCCGGGCGTTCACTCCCCAGCAGATTGAACACCAACTCCTCGACCGAAGTCCACAATCGGATGAGACGAACGACTCGGAGGCCATCGCTTAAGACACTACTNTCGACCCATTGGGGTGACTGTCAGACCACTGCACACATACCCATCCCTTCGCACACACGCTGTCTGTTAGGACACCGATTGAACAGTTCTGGACATTGGTCTCTGTGGACATACAGGTCATCATTAGTCATGGATTCAATGGATTCAATGGACACAACACTTACCAACAATTGATATGAATGTCAATACAATGGCATTGAGTTTGATATACAGACAGAGGTTGAGATTCATGTCAATTGTGTGTGAATTAGCGGTCAATGAATGCTTGAATTAAAACATCAATGAATTAACAAACATTTGAATGCATTTCGTATGAAATCATTGATTAATGGATTGATTGAGTGGTGAATGCATTGTGTGTTTCCGTAACAGTGAAGCACTTAATGAGTAAACATTGATATAATGCAGTGATTGTAGTGATTGTCACTTACGATGCACTACAGGCCATGCACTGTATGTCTGCTGAGCCACCACTCATGCAATGGCATCACTACTGTATACCAATGAATGCATGCATTCACTGTCTATTAGACACTGTATTACTGAACCAATGAATGCTTTAGTTGTCAAACAGTGTTAAGTGAAACACAGGATTTGCATGATTTTCTATATAAGAGCTAAATGTGATTTAAATTACTTTAAATTGTTATAAATATGAGACACTTTAGAAAACTGTTTATATGAATGCCGTCAGATGTCGTGAGTGATGATATATCTGTGATTCTGTATACAGAATATGTATAGAATTGAGTAAATAGCATATTCTGGTAACAAATAGTGAGCTATTGTCTCATATGATATGATTTATGAATTGCACTTTTATATTGGCACCACTTTTATAAAACAGTCAATATATTGAAAATTACAAGGGAACTGGATTACTTACGGTATAATATACACGGAAATTAAATGTCATTGTGAACAAACTGACATAGTGTCATTATTAACTGATTAGTTTTGTAGGCAATCCCTACCCTATGAGGTCAGTATATGAAACACAAGGAACTATGGATATAGTTCATATGGGACTGAACTGGGTCATTCTACATTATTTGTATCCAAACATTATAAAATACTTTATAAATGGCATATTGTGTGCATGATTGTTATTTTGATATTAAGTGAGACCTTGATCATTACATCTCTTTTACTACTCTGGTTATTTTTTATGTGAAATTGACAGCGAATATAAGTTCAACATATTCAAACTGGGACTAGTCACTAGTATCAAGTATACGAGATAAACAACGGATATTATCTCACAGTTATGTTCTGTATTTGATGACACCAATTCTTGACACTATTCTATAGTTCCCAAGTTTTTTAAACAATTACAAAGTATTGGCAAAATTCAAGATTTGTTATTAATGTGAAATAGTGTATTAAAAAGTTAAATAAATTTTGTCCTGTTAATCTGCGAATAATAATTATAATAGGTTGCATTAAGAAGTGGGATAAGTGCATGATAAGTTGTTGCGATAGTTTTCAGATTCTACTGTGTATTAGGTAAAGTTATCCAGATCATATATGAATACTACAGTATATGCTACCAATGATAAAACTCACAATTCAGATAAATAACTAGAAAAATAATTATCATATATTATACAGAGCTTTAAATCATATTTTTAATTAAATCATTTATTATTATCATTATTATTTATAATAAAACAATAATTGCAAGCATAGCTTTAGAAAATGTAATATAATTGAACTTGCCAATACTTTAGGCAAGAATCTTAGTCCTACTATTTGGAGGCTTTGGTTGCCTACGCTTCCAGACATGAAACCATCATTTTGTGGATATAAACTTTACGACAGACTTAAACCGCATTTAGAGTAGAAATTGTGTTATAATTTCCAAGTTTATGTAAAGGTTTACATTAGCTGCCTACAAGTATGAACTGACAAAAATGTAACTGCAAATACATTATTAATATTTTTTGTAAACAAGAATTTTTTGTTTATCTTATAGTTTATAAATAATTTTTTATGAAAAGTGATTTCAAACATGCTATACTAATTTTGAATCACTTACTAATTGTTCACAACACCGAAAAATCAATATGGTATATTTATAAAATGACATTTATANTATAGTCTTATCAAAACAACAGTTCTCTCTCTCTCTCTCTCTCTCTCTCTCTCATCCAATACTTTATTATTTTTGACAGTACTTTGTAACGAATTCCTAAATTTACACATCATTTGATAATTTGTCTGCAATTCAACAGAATTTCTTATAATAAAATTATATTCCCTCCAATGAATGGCAACAAAAGTATTCAATCATTTCACACTTGAAATGACGGAAAGATAATCAATCGTTGCATCAAATATAGAAATTCATAATTAATCACAAATTCATATTTACTATTAATCGCTATTAAAATCTATACAAACAGTACAATACATAGTAAATTTTCACTAATTATTTGTTCACAGAGAGAGAGAGAGAGATTGTAAAAGCAAACCAAAAACACGGGACCTCTTTCTCTGGAGTGGAGTTGTGTTGTGTTTTTGTGTGATTTCTTTGCCGTTCACTGCAGGAGATANGAGAGAGAGAGAGAGAGAGAGAGAGAGAGAGAGAGAGAGAGAACTGTTGTTTTGATAAGACTATAGTTGAAGTTTGGATTAAAATTCTGTCAAACATTAAAAATATTTGTTTAAACAATAATTGGCTTAATTTTGTTGTGATATAAATTATAACCCGTTTTAATCTAATCATTGCTTACAAACAGTTTACAAAAAGTATGAAAAATTATTTCATAGCATAAGCAGTTTCACAGGTTGTCAAAAGAATTTTGAAGCAAATATTATTTTTTAAGATAATTACCCGCGTTTTATAAATGAATAATTATGCAGCTTTTAAATAATAATTTTTCAAGAAACTAATTTTCTCTACATTTCATCAAAATATTTCTTTATTAAAAAAGTGCCAAAAAGTTAATCTTACGGCAGACAGGCTTTCAACTCAACGATTCAATTGAATTAAAAGTTTGCTTTTTTGTTATTTTTCTGTATTTTCGTCGTGAATATAAAACAGCCAAAGAGTAACACAACTGTTGCGCAGTTTTGCCTACAATATAAATATTTTAACCAAATATTGAATGCTTTTTGTGTTAAACTCTTAACCAAAATACGTCTTCACATCTCATTTTGGGTAAAATTTATTTGCCATTCAATAGACAGTCATTTGTTTTTTGTTTTTCGCTGTAATTGTTGTCCAAACAATACGAGACACATCCGTCACTTGAATTTGTTTAACATAAAAAACACATCAATATTAAGCACTAAATACTCGTCGAAAGAAATTATTTAATACTATTTAATACAAAGTTGTGATACTATTTGAAAGTTGTTTGCAATTCTTGTCTAATTTAAGTAAAGAACAGACGTTTGAAAAAGTTATTGCATTTTATGCTAAATATAACTTGTTATATAATATTTAAAAGTTTGAAAGTTCATATAATATTATCGAAATAATGAGATTTTCTAAATACTTGCAAATAATTTGTATATCAGTGCTGCTGACTGTTTTCACAAAAGAAATACATGCACTCGATTGCAGGTAAGATTATTTCTAATTAAAACACTTTTTTATTATGCAATTAAATTTAATCTCATAATTGTTATAATCATATTCAAAGGACATTTGTATTCGCACCACAATGTCGAGGAGTTTCCAAGAAGTCACTAGAATTGGACTCAAATCTCTATTCTTTGAGTAATGAAGAAAAGTATGTATAAGT